ATGTGGTGCTGGGGACTGAACCGCGGTCCCTGTGCTTTGCTTAGCTTAGCTTGTTCTAAGTAGGTGCTTTAGACCACTGAGCCATCTCACCAGCCCATATGCATCTATTGAGCACCTACTTTGTGCCTGATACTGCTCTAGGTACTTAGGAATACACCAATGAATAGGAGAGATAAGGTTTCGTTGGAGTGGGGAGGCTTACCATCTTGGGAACTAACACATCGTACCCATAGTTGAGTATCTGTCCTCTCCTTCACTACCACCAAAACTTGAGTTTCTCTGCTTCTTTGTTTGCTTGAGACAGGATTTTGCTATATAGTCTAGGCTGATCTTGAACACACTGTGCAGCCCTTGCTGGTCTTGAATTTGTGAGCCTCCTGCCTGAACCTCAGGAATTCCAAGCATGATGAGATTACAGGCACATACCACCATGTCCAGCTACCAGACCGGAGCTCCTTGAGGACAGGTTGTCCATTTTCATTGCTTAGAGTCATGCCTCAGCACATAGAAGGTGCTCAAACAATGAATAATAAATAACTTCTCTACACACAACCCCCAGTCTGCTCCTAGTTTATGTCTTTAAATGTGGCTTCTCTGAAATGTCCTATTAGCTGGGCATGGTGGCACACAGATATAATCCCAGCACTCGGGAGGCTGAATTAAGAGGAACTCTGAAACTTTGTGGTCAGCCTGGGCTACATAGAAAGTTCAAAGTCAGTCTGGAGCCAGGCCTGGTGACACATGCCTGTAATCCTAGCACTTGGAAAGCTGAGGTAGGAGAATCAATTGGAATTCCAGCCTGGACTATAAAGTAAGCTCAAGGGCTGGGAAGATAGCTCAGTGGCATAAGTGCCTGCCTGGCAAGCACAGGGTGATGAGTTCAATCCCCAGTACCCCAAAATAAAAATAAACTTTTCAGGGTGATTCAATGACTACCTGGTTGAAGCCTGATTTATCCTATCTGTTTAAAGTGAGTCAAGGGGCTGATGAGATGGCTCAGTGGTCTAAAGCACCCACTTAAAATAAGCTTAGCAAAAAAGCACAGAGACCGCTGTTCAATCCCCCAGCACCACATGCCAGCCAGCCCCGCCCCCTGGTGGGCTGAGCTGGCCACACACACACACACACACA